CGCGACGAAAAGGAAAAGATGATAGACATAAAAAACTTGTGCATAAAATATTTTGTGCGACAGTTGTGATAAATATTATGTAGACAAATAAAACTAGTAGACAGAGTTTTGGAATCGAAGAATATTAAGAGGATACTAGGAAAAGTAATTAGAACTCACATATAGCGATTCATGTTCAACATTCATTTGATATTAATAATATTGGAACTCTGGCATTTGGAAAAGAGGAATTATAAAAGAGAGCTTATTTACTCATTAAAACTAATTTTCTACATATTCGGTTATTTATTCTACTCACTATATTTATATGAGTATTGTAATTGTATGAAGCTATTTTTAAAGATGGATTGTAGATTAAATTTTATTTTAGAACTATTAATTATCCTACTTTTATGTTCTAATAATAATTTTTGTTGATGTTATGTTTTCCATAGCTGGGGAAAGAAACAACTATGTTGCAAGAGTCTTTTTGACAACGTTTATTATTTACATTTTTACAAAAACTTAATCTAGAAAAAATTTGTTCTCCATTTTTCACGAACTTACGAAGGAAAAATCGCTGACTCTGCAACACATAACATGAAGAAATAATGCTCGACATTTTTGCTATTCCTTTTGTGCCGTATGTTTATAACCTAAAATGGTTAAAACGAAAAACAAAAGTGAACAAAATGGTTTTTATACAAAAACATGTTGAATCAAAGACGATGATCGCACTCTTGACTTGAGAAAAATATTTTGTGCACAAGTTTTTTATGTCTATCATCTTTTCCTTTTCGTCGCGATGGGAACATACTCTTCAATATGAATGTTTTTTTGAAATTCAATATTAACTTAAATTAATATTAATAATTTTTTGCATGTTTTTCTCATTCTTTTTTTTATATTACAGCCCTGAAAAATGATTCATGAAGAACAAAAAAATAACTACTCATGTTTCTCTTTTACATGTAGTCACTAAAACAAATGTTCTTTTTATATTAGTAAAAGAACGAAGAGAAACATAAATTGAGCAGCGTTGTATATCTATGACAGTTGAATAATCGAAAGTAAAAAAACAACGGGGAAAGTGGGTTTTAAAAACTCCCAGCAAAAAGAAGAATGAAAGAAAACTATATAGACCGGTTCTTTTAACCGAAACACTGTACTTTCTGGTGATCGATTGACTGACGTTAGACATTCTTGAAACGATTGTTGAACAGCCACAAGAACACTTTGTAAACAGGACATATTCTTAATCTTAATTATTAAAGTAAAAACTCTCAAGTTAGATTTTTTTGCATTAGTTTTACCACTACTAGTGACATCAACATTCGAATTGTTCTGGTGACTTCTAACGTATTTATTTTCAATTGTGTAAGGAACTTTTAAATGCTTTTGTTGATAATAAAAACTATATCTTCTAGAATACTATCTCATACGAGAAGTTAGGAATTTTTTCTCAAGAAGAGAGAGAAAAGAGGGTCTTTTTGCATGTCATAGAATAAATCTGTCGTATCTACCTTTAGTGTTGTAAAATAATCATAAAAAATGCCTTGGTTCTTGTCATAAAACACTTTTTGACAGCAGTTAACATTAATTGTACGACCTTTTCGTAATGGAATATAACTGTTCACAAAGTGAATTCAATCAATTAAGGGAGCAAATTGCGATCCTGACGCAAAGAATTGAACACCTGGAGAAAAAGTCAATGAAACGTATTATCAAGAAGCTATTATTACCCCCAGACTTACAAAAGATCCAGTTACATGATCAAAAAATGAAATATAACGTGGATCTTATAAACTATCTGCCACAAAATGAAGATGTTAAAGCTATTTTAGTATCCGTATGCGTTCAGCACAACAATCATCCAAATGGTCATGCGTACTTGGTATTTGACGCCTATCAACAATGTGCTACTACAGATCAAAGAACCGATTATGATGAACGAACATACAACTGTCATGGTACACGACATCACCAAGAACTATTCGTTCCATGGGATACGGCTATCAATTCGTCAAATTTGGTTATTGATGTATCTTATGCACGTAATACGGGAAGTTATCGAAATCATGGTAATTTAAATTGGTTTGAAATTAAAATTACTGGGTATATCGCATAAAGCTGTTGCCAGTTTCTATTTCAAGAGCTGTATCCCTTTTTAATGTAAAAACGTGCTTTAGTATCTAGGGGTGGCACTTTCCCGTTCCTTTCCCGAGTAACGGTAAAGTAGTGTCTTTTATTTCAAAAGTGAAGAGTAAAGATATAATGCATATCTTTTCTTTCCTAAGAAAAAGGAAGGTGGCATCTTTTCTTTTTCAATAAATTTTTAACGGAACAAGATGAAGATCTGCGGTTTCCAGTGTTTTGTAGCCAGGATACAAGTCTAATGTTTGAAAATATGCCTAACAGAGGGCGACACCTAGTCTACATATCTGGCAAAACCCGACAGTTCCATCTACGATCTCGAGCAAAAGCAAACTTTTCCCGACACACCTCGGGTTCCGAGGTGTCTCAGGAAATATCAACTCGAAATTGGGTTGATATTTAGAAAGTTGAAAACGCGTGGAAGCACAGGTTATCGACCACGCTGAATCTTGTGGGAATCTTTCTTTTTCGAAAAAACTTAAAAAACCAGTGAAAACCTATACTAAACGGAATAATATATTTTTCGTTATTTTCATCGAAAATTAAAAAATTCATAACTCAATCAAAGTTGTTTCAAACTGTGTCAAAATAGCAATATATACTCCTTTTATTAAGTTCATCTTATTGTACAGATAAGGTTGAAAACACCCGAAATTTCTATTTTTGTGTAAAAAGCTTAATTTTCAATAAAACTATTTTTTAATGGTCAGAAAGCTTTTGAACCTTGGTAGTCTACATCTAGAAAGCCTTTGAAACACGTGGAAAAAACTTCAAGTCTCGGTAGCTTAAATAGTTAGTCGATATTTTTATTTCATTTTACTCGTCGTAAGACCAGGAACAAGTCACGTAATCTTTTTCTTTCGTCAGTTAGAAAATTCACTTTTTCCAGATTAGGAGGGAAAATCGGAATTTTGCTCCTAATTCTCAGTTTTTAAGTGCCCCCTCGCTTTTTCAACGAAACCCAGTGGGTTAGAGATTATCGATAATGCTGATTCCGAATATGAATATAAGAGCTACCCTTAGAGCTTAGAAGATCCAGTTTCCTGGAAAATCAGTTTTTCAGAAACTCTGGAAAACAACCAAAGCTTTTCCGAATGAGCCATGCTTGTAGCCCGCACATTTCTGATTAAAATGAGACATCTCCGAACTCTACATGGCCTTTCTTTGCAAAGTTATAGAATTTACAAGAAAAGCCCTAAATTAATTTCTTCCTATTTCTGTAGCTTTGAGTTGACAATAAATATTTAGGGCTTTTTTTTCTTATAAATTCTATAACTTTGCAAAGAAAGATCATGTAGAGTTGGGAGACGTCTCATTTCAGTCAGAAATGTGCGGGCTACAAGCCATTAAGAAACTCTTTGGTTATCTTTCAGAGTTTCTGAAAAAATGGTTGTCCAGAAAACCGAATCTCCGAAGCCCTGAGGGCAGTTCCTATCTTTATATTTGGAATCGGCATCATCGATAACCTATAACCCACTGGATTTGGTTGAAAAAGCGAGGGGGCACTTAAAAACGTTCCCTCGCCAGTACCTTCCTATCTGAAATTTATAAAAGCTTATAAAGGTGGCCGGATAGAATAAAAGATGGTTTATTATTGCAAAAAATTTTCTACCGTACATACACTGTTGCTGATTGACAGTCTATCATCGACGACGTGCAAGACCAACCTCCACTGAACGTGGGAGCATTTTAGGAAACCACAGGGTGGTCTATATAATCATCAGAGTCATCGCATTATTTTTAATGGACCTTAGAAAAGACTTTCTCGAAATTAAGCATCAGTGAGTTAAAACCAGAATTTTGTCCTCTTACTAAATATATGGTCAAAATTTTTCTAGGACTTTTAAAATGAAAGCT